AAATCCTTAGGAGATAACAAATTAACCGGGACCTCAACAAAACGATAAGTAACTTGGTCAATAGGCGTAACAGGGGAAGCATTAACACTGGCGAACCCATATTCAAGGGAGTCTTAATAGCAGGTTCAACATTGGCCAAGCCAACACCAGATTCATCAACACGGTCAGGACAAAATTCATTAGGCTTGCTCGACGAATACGAAAAATCCAAAGCCACACCAAGCCCAACAAACCCATGCAAACAGGACGGGGCAGACATAGTACCCAAAATAGGAAAGGAATTAACAACACAACCCAAACACCCACCTGCACTAGCGCAATCCCAAGATCCCAGACAGCAGGCAAAACCCCTCTCACCACACCCTCAGAAACAAGCATATTAGAAACAGCAGCAACCTCACCAACAGAACCCAAACCAACCACAGGTGACGGGATAATATCACAGAAAGTAACCCGATTATGCACAGACTCAACATTCACATTGATATTATCTAAAGAAGCAGCCACCTGAATAATACCAACATCCTCCACTGAAGGTAAAACATGATCCTCATTAACCAACTGAGCCACAGGCAGCACACATAGAGCAGAAGCCGAACAAGGAGATTTAGGAAATAAACTGCTCAGACTTAACGGGAGAAGAAGAAATAACCAGTTCAGGATTAATCAAATCCTTGGTAGAAATCTTACACGGAACTGGAATATCAGCCATAGGATGGCAATTACAAGAAGAATGCCCAAATTTTTTGCTAAAAGAACAAATAGGAGGGAAAACTTCTAAAACCATTTGTTGAACATATCTAGACAACTCAGGGCCTAACCAGACCCTATATGGATAGGATTTAATAACATCCAATTCTATCAAGACACGAGCTAGGGACGGCCTGGAACCAATGGAGGTAGCGATATCAATTTTAAGGGATTTGCCAAAGATCAAACCCAAGCCGTGAAGAATGCGAGAGAGAAGAGATGGGGGCACAGTTGAGGGAAAGAAACCCAAATGGGGACAATCGGCGACTCGACATCGATATCCAAAAGGGGCGACCACTTGGTAAGCTTCATGTAACAGTTATAAATTAAGTATGATCCATGGCAGAAAATCCGACAATAATCTAAATCATTTTTTAGCTTGATGAGGATATGCATTGGGTCCAGCAAAGTTACCAAAAATTCACCATTCAACTTCAGATTAAAGAAAAATTGTCGGATAGAGTCCAAGGATGGTCGTTTAGAGGGGGAAAAACCGACCAGAGAAAATTGGAAAGGCATAGCTAACGCCGAAACTTCTTCTTTGGAGATCCATAGAGAGGGAATACCATGAAAAAAAAAACCATAAGCTCTGAAAATATAGAGACAACTGACGAGCCCGCGAGGACATCTAAAAACGAACGAGAAGAAGATGAACCCTCTAAAAAATAAGGGCCGCAGAGCTTCGGAGGCATGCCAGCAAACGCCGGAAAAAACAAAAACCAAACCAACAAAAGCTAGGTCCAACCAGAGAGGTTGGAGAACTTCCTGAAGGAACGGACGATTTTGGCGCCACCACGGCAAGTGCCCCAGCCAAAGGAACACGCTAGAAAGAGCTAGGGCAAAGCCCTAGCAGAGCGGGCGAAAACCTGAGCGGGCCTGAATTTTCTTGGTGAAATTTTGAAAATCAATATCTTATATGTACACTAAATAATTAAGGAGTTCTAGCTTGCATTGTGGTTTTCTTGTAATCAATAAATTAGTAAACGTTTGCTCAATAAATAGAGTTGTTACTCTTGCATGTTGGCATCTTAATTAAATTATAATAACTCCTAATCATCGAATCACATAAATTAGTAAAGGATAACACACCACATGTCACAGCTTTTAAAGGAAAGCTTATCAACCTACCATCTTGTGCAGGTATAAACAGTCTCCAGCCAACAACATTAAATAACCATCATTTGCTTGTTCTTATACACACTCAGGGGCGGATCCAGCATCTTTTTTTAGGGTGGGCAAAAAAAAAATTAGTAGGGGATGGGCAAAAATGATTAGGATTGATAAAATTAGGGCAAAAAATTTTTTTGAGAGGGGGCAAAATACCCAAAATATTCAAAATATTCCAAAAAATATCCTCTAAAATTATAAAAAAAAATTTTGAGGGTGGGCATTTGCCCCGGCCCCCTCACTACCATTGGGATCCGCCCATGTACACACTATTATCATAATATTATAAAAGTAATAGCAACCAGCTATTACTCAATCACATGCTCATATTCACTCACAATGCTTGTATCAACTTTATAATTCTATTAAAATACCAAAATTACTATTCATATTAAAATTGTACCTAATGCAATAATTTTTTTATTTAACAGGTGAAAATAGAAACCAAATAGTTGAAATAACTAGAATAATTAGTACTACATTATAACAAAAGTTATGCGGTAGAAGTTCACTAAATCAGGAGAAAATATAATAAAATTGATAGAAATCAAAATCTTCAAAAACAAAAATATGACATAAGTAATTTATAATGACCTGAAGAAATTTTGTAAAAGCGACGAAATGAATTAAATTGGCAGACAAAAACTCGATTTCTCTTTCCTATCTCCTCCGTCCCGTATTCTCTTATCTATCTCCTCCTTCCCTTATTCTCTTTTATTTTTCCTTCCAGGGCAAGCCAGGCGAGTGAGTGGGAAAGTGGAAATGACTATTTATAAATATAAAAATTCATTGGTTCAACGTTGTTGCGCTGCATGTGATTCTTAGAGCCGTTGCAGTTGAAAGCACTGCATTATAGCGCTCCTACATATTTTTTGTGTTTTTCAAGTTAAAATAATTTTTTAGACTTTTAGGTTGTTACAATTGCTAATTAGAGATCAGTGCAAGTTAGCCTATAATCCATTCTTGTTAGGAGGTTCAAATTCAAATCTGATAATCTTAATAAGATTGATTAGTCATTCTAATGAAGTCAAGTCATAAGTAGCATATTGAATATTTCATTGATTTGAAACCCTACATAAGGCTCTGAAAAAACACCCCATTAAAATCATGCTTTGTTAACCACTACATGCGCTAGTGTTGAAGTTGAAGTTAATTATCTAATCATGTATAAAAATCCTTAAAATCAAGTTTGAGAATGCAACATCATTCCCGGGAGATCGTATCATAAAATGTAATATAAAATGAATTCATAAACCATGAAAAGCAAAGCCAAGCCTAATAGAGAAATCTGGAAAAAAAAAAAAGTACACTAAGGTAAAAGAAATAAGATGCTACAAATGCACATCTGCCCAATCTAAAACAATAGAAGGTACCTTATCCTAAAAGAAGTCATTTATCCAACAAGCAACAAGTAATACTTTTAAAAACACTAATAAGATGAGGCAAAAAATAAAAACATTTGTTTCAAAAAGAAAATTAACCTAACAAAACAACATAAAGTGCAATCAAAATTCTAAAATCATAAAACCATTTCTCCAAAAATTTTAAAGCATTCTCATATCAAACGGCAATGATTCTTTAATTTTCTATCGCATGAGTTTATTAAAAACTTGTCGTCATATTATGAAGAAAAATTTTCTTTATATAACTAATACAAATTTCACCTCTCTATCTACCTCCTATAAACTCATAGCCTATCATTCTTAGAAAGATAATTCCTAATGTATTATAGTGAAAGAGGACCAGTCAAAGATTTACCGACACAAATTGAAAATTCAAAATTAACTTTTAAAAATATTTACAGGAATAATAATTATTGGTTTACCTTGACCTGCAGAATGCAAGAAAGGTTGAATTTTGAAATTGTTGAAATGAGTTTGGGAGATGAAAGTAGATTGAGGCTTCACTTGAGATGGCACTTTCTTTCTTTCTGTTTCTTAAAGCAGCTTCCAAGTACAAAAATTAAAATTTTTGTACTATGAAGCTTCTTTAAGAAGTAATAAGAAAGTCGTCCCATTCGAAGCCTGAGAGGAGAGGTTGCTTCCACCACCACGCACTGAATGAGAGTCATTGCTAAGAGATAAATACAAGTTAGCCTATAATTCAATCTAATAACCATAAGAAGATTTGAATCTAAAGTTAAAAACATCTAGAAAAAAAGCTCTAATAGAAAGCAAGTGTTTACTATGGTTGAAAACTATTATATTATTGCGTGTAATAATCTATTAAGATATAATAAATTCAGATTATATTCAAACGATTCTTTTCTTGGGCAAGTTAATTTTCTCTACAGAGCACGTTTCTTTCAGAACAAGTCAATGGAGGAAGACAGATTCCAACACCTAACTTTTGAGCAACTACCACAGGCTCTCATCCTTTACCAAAGTTAAGAAAATATATCAAAGCAGCTGCACTGAAGATATAAAGCTTCCATAATAGGTAGCTATCTTCCCTCAAATAGATTGAAAGCTGCCAGCCAATGCCCTTTGATGAATTATTGAAATACATTTCTCACAATAATATATTACATTTATCTTAACAAAGAAAAGTAAAAGTAGAAAATTCTATGAGGATTTGTTTATTGCAATTCTACCCCAAAAAAAAAATTTCTTCAAAATGTCTCATGAATTTTTCTTAATTGAAATTTATGCAAATAAATCTTGACGATTGGGATTTTCTTATATAAGAAATTAAATTATAAGTTATGCGGTATATTAATATTTATATGTACACTACAAATAATATATCTCGAAGTATTGAATATAATTGATCCTATAAATGTAAATATTCAATTTTAAAAATCTAAATATTGCTTTTTTGAAGCATTCCACATAAAATTTAAAAGGAACTCGTGATAAGACTTTGTATATTAATGATCTAAAGAATTCCTAGAAAAAGAAAATTATGAAAAATGTCTTTAAAAGCCTGAGAGAATTCCTAATACGGAAAAGAAAATTAAGAAGAATAACTTAAAAAGCCCTCCATGAATACCTTTTTATCCTAAGAAACCCAGAATATTTAAATAAAAGAAAATAAAGCAGCCTTAGAGAATTATTGGCCTAGTCATCTTCTTCTTCTCAATATTTCTACTATAACATCATATAATCCATTAAATTACTCAGACAAGCAAAAGTTTTACAAATATACCAAAAATACCAAACGAATCAAGACCATTAGAACACACTGTAATTAAAGCCCAAGGGAACAGCCCTCAAATTTTAGCAGTTCCGTTAACGCCGAAGTTATCTCCAATACTTGACCACGAAACCAAACGCCTCCATGTCAGTTTCTTCCTTCTAAAAACTAAAAAATAATTAAAAATTTACGAGTCACAAATTACAGAGATCATTAGCAGAAGCTCCAGAGACTAAGATCACCAATCTCGTCAAACTCCTCCGCCTGATGAGACGGAGCAAAGAATCCAAACGGGTTCCATGTCGGATCCACGAAGCATTTAGGCGACTGGAAAGCTCCAAAGTCCACCAAAATGTCAGGTTGCGTGGCCGGCGGTGGCGGCGAAGATGACATTTCCTCCTCGGCTGCCGCAGCGGCGGCGTCGGCGGTGGAGGTGGAGGAAAAGGATGGCGGCGAGAGAGGCGGTGGGGTGCTGACGGCTGCGGCGGCTGCTGCGGCGATGCGTTGGATGGATTTGGGGGAGAGGAGGGAGGAAGGGGGGTGGTGAGGGGAGGAGTGGGGAAAGTTGAGGGAGGCGGAGGAGCCCTTGAGGCAGAGGAGGGCGGCGTCGTACGCACGGGCGGCGGCTTCAGGAGTGGAATAGGAGCCGAGCCAAATTCGAGTCTTTTGATTCGGGGCTCTGATTTCGGAGACCCAGGAGCCCCAGCTTCTCATTCTTACTCCTTTGTATTGCTTCTGGTTTCTGCATTTCTGGCCGCGGGAGACGGCGGCGGCAGCGGCGGCGGACGAGGAAGAGGAGGAAGAGGTAGAGGGGGACTGAGACTTCACCATTTTGGAATGGGGGATAAGGTTGATCGTAATAAGGAAGATGGTCTTTTGCTTGTTTGCTTGTTAGAATAGATGATTTTGTGGATTTGGAATGGTATTTGATTGTAATGGAAGCAGGTGGGGGAGTGAGTGATGCGAGTGGGGAGAGGAGAAATGAGGAAGGGAGGCTTATTTATAAGGAGCTTAGGTTGTTTTACCATAGCAAGAAAATTTTGTATAAATAATATCTTATTTGATGAAGATGATATTTAAAATGAAAAAAAAATTTATTAATAATATTCCTTTTTTCTTTTTCTTTTTTTTAATAATGGAGAATGGAGATGAAAATTTGAAAATGGTAATGGGTTGGTCTGTAGAGTAGTGGTCTTTAACTAATATTGTGGGGTCCATGAAATTGGGGCTGTTTCTTCGGGCTGACGCTTCTGAGGAATGGGGCAAATTATTGTATCAGGTCACCGAACACGTTCAGTCCTCTCTGTCTACAGCTGCTACAGTGACCTGCGCTTTACTGTAGACAGAGAGGATCCGAACGGATCCTCTCTGTTCGGTGACCTGATGCAATAATTTGCCGAGGAATGGAAAGAAGAAAAATGAGATGTGAAAAACAGTGAAAGGATTGCAACTCATGAGTATATATATATATATATATAGTTAAAATTCACCCAAAGGCTTATAAGTTAATAATTAAAAAAAGGTTATAAGGCCTTTAAAGGGACCTCCAGCTCTCTAAATAGCAACAAAAAAATTCTAAAAAATATCTATAAGCCGGTGGTCCCTATTAACATTCAGCTTAAAATTGTCGAACCATCAGCAACCCAAAAAATGCTTCAGCTTTCATATGCAGATAATTAAGGCAGCAGGAAATTAAATGGAAATACAAGCTACAATAACACCTGTAATAATACCAACAAGAACACAAAAGAATGGCAAATAAAATCAGTGAACATAATCATCAGATATGCTAAAGGAATGGTAAACAAATTAAGAAAAACAAATATTTATTGATGATCTTTTAATAACCAGTAGGCACTGAATGAATGAAAGAACCTACAAAAATTAAGAAATGGAGCATCATTTAAAAAAATTTAAAAATGATATGAATATATGAGATGTATTGATCATCATTTAAAAAAATTAATTTAAACTAATTTTTATCTATTAATTGAGGAGAATTTTAATAATATTTTATTTATTTTGTAAACTTTTGAGATCTTATCTCTTATAAAAATATGGTATATGCTTTAAAAAAGTCTTTTAATAAATTTTTCTTTTTTAATTTTTATAATGAAAAAAATATCTTTATTAATATTTTGGTGTTAAATTTTATTACTAATTAAATAAGAAATATTAAATTATAAAAAAATACAATTACCTTAACTTTTTCTTCTTTAGTTATTTTAGGATTTTAGATGCCGTTTCCAAAATAAAAGTATTGCGGTGACTTTTGTTTTATTTATTTTCAATAATCAAAATGGTAATTTGGATAAGTATTTTTAACTAAAGATGTCATTTAATTATTTTTATTTTGAATAATCTAGTCAATTTGGACACGATTCTCATTTAAAAATCATATCCAAACTAAGTTATTTATTTTCCAATTTATTCTCTCAACTATCCACCGTATTGCAAAATCCTTCAAGTGAAAAAATTATTACGTCCGGTCAAAAAATCGGAAATTCGGACGTATACCAAGCAATACTGAGTGCTCGGTACCGGGTTCCAGGCAACGTGGCACGTGATTATTGGTCTCTGGACGCGTTCGGTGTCCGGACGTAATAATTAATCCTTCAAGTGAGCTTCATTATCTGGTGATCTGCAAGCTTAATTCATTACTTTTTTATAAGACAGTCTTTTAGTACACAAATTTTTTGAAATAGAATCTTTTGTACTAAAAAAATTGATTTAGAAAGCAGCAAGAAAGTCATCTTAAACTAAGCTTAAATTGTTGCTCTTCTTTTGCCTTCTAATAAGATTTGATTAACATATGATGAATGTAAAATACTTATTAGTTGTATAGTATATTTTGAAATTAAGATGCAAATAAAAGTTAATTTAAAATTTTATATACATATTTTTTACTTAGGATAAGTTTTTATTGTACTCATACAAATTTTGAAAAAAAACAATTATAATTAATAAATTGATTAAATGTTTTAAAATAGTAATTAATTATTTATGAAATCCAAATAGGAAATTTTTAATTTTATAATTATATTAATTTACATTTAATTATTATTTCATTGTGATAGATAATTACAAAATTAACCAATTAGATTAATGAATAACTTAAAAAATATTTTAACTTATTAAGAATTAAATATAATTAATAATAACAATTAGAATTTCATGATGATAACTAGTGTTTAAATCATTAATTGATTCACAAGCATAAAAGTTATTATCAATATTAATTATTGATTAATTATATTTAAATTATGATAATTGAAGTTTTAAAATATTATCTAATTAGCTTCGACATTGTATGATCAAGTTATTAATTAATTAAGTATATGGGCAATTATTACTCATGCTTTATTAAGAAGTAATTATCATTTTAATCAAGACCATTATGATTTAAATATTAATTTAATTTTGTTCAATTAGTTATAATATTTATTATATAAGAATTTTATACTTAATTAATTAGCAATTTCGAGAGTAACCTCGAATAGCTAAGGATAATTAGTTAAATTAACTATGAAGACATTGTGAGAATAATTAGTACTTAAATTAACTATGATTTAAATATTAATTTAAATAAAAATAAATTACTTGTATTTTTTACTATAAATTTTAAAATATTTTTAATTTACTTTTTCCAAAAATAACTATATTCTGAACCTAATAAATATATATATATATATATAAATTAAAAGCTATTAACAAGATGTGTGTGATGTGTAGCAGTTTCGAATTTCGATAAAAAATTAAGAGTTTTTTTATAAGTTGCAGGGATTATACCTGACCGTGACATGCCCACTCAAAAGCTTCTAAGCAAATGATCTCATTTAATTCTCGACCATGCAAGACCCGATGTACCTCTCAAGATAAAATAAAAGAGAAATATACATGTGAGCATAGATGCCATTCAGAAAAGAAATGCAGGTGAATAAAAATATCACTAACATGAAATTTAATATTAGCATTTATAAAACATGTGCATATTATTGATAGAATATAAAAAAATGTGTTAGTTCTCTAATTTGACAAGGGTAATTGACATTGAATAACAAAATAAAACATCAACATAACCTAGAGTTAGAAGTCATGTCCTAACAAACAAGTCAAAGTGTGTGTAATAGGCTGTGAAG